CTGTCACTGTCATGCTTGTCATCGAATTGTTGTTATTGTTATCATTTAGGGCTGCCATCCGTCCGGGTTTCCCCGGATTTGTCCTAGTTTACGGGGCGTCCGGGGAGCGTCCGGGCAGGGTTTTATTTGAAGTCTGGGTTTAAAAATTTACGGCAACGCCTGAGTGGCCCTTGGTGCTGCAAGTGTCCATGGGCAGCAGTGACCACTTATTATGAGGTACACTGCTACTTAGCTCTTTTGCCTAGATCAACATAAAAAAGTTGATTTGTAACATTTTTAACTGTTTTTTTTGGTCTGTCCTGGTTCTGGGCAACAAAATCCGGGGTTATCACGCGTCTTATCCTGGTTGCCACATTTTAGAGATGGCAGCCCTATTATCATTATATAACATTGTTTGTGCTTAGGTGCATGCATATTGCAAAGATTTCAATCGGCGTATTGTGTTTTTCTGAGATTTGTTTTTTTATGTGACTTGGACTGTATTTGGACTTTCGAAATCTTTCCCTGCGACTGTTGAGTAGTGCTTGCCTAAGACTTCCGAATCTGATATTTGGCTGTGGATTTTGGACACGATTCTGTCCCATACTGTGGATTTTATTTCATTGTATCTACTATCTACGATATTGTGATCAACGATGTGGAATAAAAAATATATAAAAAGTGTTGCATATTCAATTAATATCCCATTAGTACATTATTAGAAATCCTTTTTTATACTTTATTATTGCAGTGGGCATTTTCAAATTGTTAAGTACTTCTTACAGCACAGGCATTGTATTTGAACTCAATAACTCTTGTCTGATAATAAGTATTTTGACGCGGTTGATCAGTACCTACGCCAAAGAAAGAAAGAAAGAAAGAAAGAAAGCCAACTGATCATACATTGTAAAAAACATTTTTTTTCGTCACTAATCTTCAGGACCGGTATACTTCTATAGTTCCGTTCCACGTATTTTTTATTTTGATATAAAAATACTCTTGAAAATACTTTTATAATTCGTTTTTGCATTACTTGGTAGGACATAACCTCCAAAACTTCAAAGTAGAATATCTATAAATCCAGACTTCCTATAATATAAGAAATAAGATAAATCAAATCAAGAATGTAAACTCTATAATTTAACATGCAATTCATTTATAGACGCAAGAAACAATTTCAACAAAAAATTGTATGGGAGTTCGCCATTGTCCTTTCTTCAACTAACAACAAAATAATTATGATGTAAGTTGTCCAAGCCGTCTCATAATAATAATAAACCATTTAGAAAAAAGAAATAACAATAAACAAACTTTTTTTTTTGCTTTTTTATCATATTTTGGAGATAAGTTGGAGTGGAGTCATGCTCTTTTTACCCGAGCTAGCGTCTAATATTCATTTAAAAATTTAATAGGAAATTAAAAAAACCCATATCCAAAAATAATCTATAAAATGTAAAAATAAAATGGGTTAGCTCTCTACCTTGATTATAACTACTTATCGGGGAGCCGCGATTAGAGAGAGCTCCAAAGCAATCGATGAGAACGAGATGGCGGCGCGCCGAAGTAACAACACATCACATACATGAACTATAGACGCTTGTCCATCGCAAGCCCATCACGACATCTTGATCTCTTACCCCCTTTATTAATAAACGAAGAATAGGCTTGGATTTGTTACTCCATGTTCTGTCTCTGTTCATTGAATGACAAATGGTATTTGCGTGATAGGAACAAACATAGTGTAACTAGTCAAAGCTTATTCCGAGTTTATTAATAAGGGGGTTACAGAATAATCTCGTGCATGGTGATGGCTGCGGTGGACAAACGGATATAGTAAATGACTTGCTAATTTTTGAATGTCTTGGAACTGAAGAAAAAGTTATAGACTATTCTAAAGAGTTGCTGACAATTTGTATAAAAATGTTTTTCCCGATTGCGGAATGAGGCATTAGTTCGAGTTGCGCCTCGATTAAACTTTAAATAAATAAATATTTCCAATACTCACACCAATTAGCCTAGCCCAAAGTAAGCACTGTAAGGCTTGTCTTATGGGATAAGGGTAACGGATAGAATACATATACAGTACATATATTAGTATAATTATATAGAAATACATATTAAACATCCATGACTGAGTACAAATGCTCGTGTTCATCACACAAACATCTGCCCCCACCGGGATTTGAACCCGGGACATCTCGAATCGGCGACACCACGAAACCCGGCGTGCAAACCACTCGGCTACGGGGGTCGTCAAAAGAGCTTTACTATCTCGCTTGCGTTTACATCGTCAAATTAGTATGACAAACATATTGTTACGTGTCGGGATGGGGTTCGAAATTATATGCCAGTTCACGCTTGACAGTTCTTTATTCACCACACAGTTCACACAATTAACACACAATGTTTATTACAAAACACTCACTAAACACTGTATTTCACTATACAAGTCTCTAAACAATCGCACTTGAACACTTTTATCGCCTTTGAATTCGCTCCGAAATCGCTGTTCAAACTCAACTGTCTCTGCGCGGCGCCAATCGCGCTTATATACGCCGATCGACGCATTCTAGAACGTATCCACGGTAATAATATCATACAGTATTCTATCTTCATACAAACGGTCGGAAAGCGAGTCATACCTACGCCACTCGAGTTCGATGTGCTCTCGGCGTGCACCCAGTCGCGAATGCGCCGCCGCGCTGCAACGACGACCCAACGGTCTGAATTGTTTTTTATGCAGTTAGCCGTGCTTAAACGTGCGTTTTGTATTGTAAATATTGGATTAATTAAGTAGATACCTACATAATTTAGTATGGAAAAGAACAAACGACGATCAATATCGTACAACAGCACAATTGCTGTTTTTGGTTGCTTGAACTCTTCAATAACACACCCAGAGATATCATTTTTTAAATTACCTACCTGAAATATTGGAAAGGTGTGTCTTACCTTTATAGAATATTTATTATATACCTATCTACTAGTACGTTATTTGTTTCTAATATTTAGATATTTCGGTTTTTCCATCGGGCAAAATATCTGGAATAATATATAAATAAGTGGTTAGGATGAAAAAAGAGACAAACGAGTAATCTACCTACACTCGCTTTAAAAACAAAACTACATAAAATACTGTAGGCTGGCGGCCCTACCGCGTGCCAACGCAGCGCTCGGTGTAGGCATTTATTTTCAAGGACAGGGCGGAGTCACAATACTGTATAGATAATATTACCGTGACGTATCTGTTTAATTGAGAATTACCTTGCACCCGCGAGTACGAAATACCTACTTATACCTACGCAGTAACACGCATAACTTGTAAACAAGTGCAGATGTCGTTGCACTTTCTCCCTTACGTCGCACTGCATAAGACTCATTTCAGAATGAGCCGCATTACTCGACCTCTATCGCGACCCGCGGTGATCTGGCAAATTCGATCTCTGGCACTTTCGCGGTTACGTTTCGAGAGCGTTTGTGACAATATCTTCATTACGTGCAACTAGATGCTGCTATACATTTTTCCGTACTAATTTCGCTGTAAACGCAAACGTGATAGTGATAGTAAAGTTAAATCGAGCTGCCTCTTAACACTTCGGCTTCTTGAGGCCCAAGCACGAGTACAAACAGCTCCGTAATCGTATCGTCATCGTCAAATGTATGGAAGGAGCCAGTTTGTTCATACGTCCGGTAGGGGTGCTGCTTAATTTTCATAGAAACTTTGACACAGCGATAAGATTACGTTACTGACAAAATTTGTCCTTTGGCCTCTGAAAGCGCGACATCGAACTACCTCGCCATAGTTATGTCATAAAAACCAGGAAACTTATTTAACTGCCATTCTAAAAATATCAATGTAACTACTTAGTTCATTCCGGTATTAAAGGTTTTTTAAAAGCCAAGGAAAGGCTGACAGTCTAGCAAGAGGCTGCGAAACGGGCTGTACTTATGATAAACGCATTATAATTGACGCGGTACGGTAAAGAATTATCCCATTGTATTTAAGAAGTATTCAGAGTCCCAAGCACGAACTTTGACAGCTCCATAACGTATCGTCTACGTCAACTTTTGTATGGAAAAAGCTAGTTTATTCTTACGTCCGGTTTGAAGATGCGATACGATTACGGAGCTGTCAAAATTCCATGACAGTTCTTTATGATACTATTCCGTGCATCGCGATCGATCGCGACCGCGCGCGGCCTACGACTGTCGTCGGTCACTCGCGACAATAGTGATAGTATGAAAATGTATGGCACCGCTTCCGAGGCCTGCGACCGACGCGACGCGCGCGGCCGTGTCTCAAAGTTAGTCGGTATTGTTCGTTAGATCCTTCTAGACGTGTGTATCATGGTCGAAGTGCTAATTGACATTCTTGAAGAAGAGGAGGATGACGATGTATGATTTTTTGTAATCTCCATTACTCCTTTAATATAATTGGATTTTGAGACCCAAAATTTATTAATTTTGTCTCATTCAAAACAGCATAATCCTATGGGAAGTCGCATCTTCGTCTTCCTTGACCGAAAAGTTTTGTCCTGCGTTCCTGGACATGTTTGCCCCATGAAATCCAAGATGTTACTGAGCGCTTAGCATGTCGAGACACCCACGGGGCGCATATATTTTCATACTATGACTATTGTCGCGAGCTACAGTACCGACGACAGTCGTAGGCCGCGTGCGGTCACGATCGATCGCGATGCACGGAATAGTACCTTTACTCCGTAAAGCTCGTCGGCAACGGAAGCATACAATCCCGATCATAGACTCAGCTCATTATCCACCTAGCTCACTCCGCCATACCATTTTTCAGTGAAGGGTCAAAACAAGTTTTCAGTAAATCCTTTCCGCTACGACAAATTCCCGCTCATTACCCCTTCCTAGTGGAAGGCGGACATTGAACTCGGGGAGCCTTATCTAATTAATTATAAGCGTATTACAAAATAAAAGTATTTTATTACAGTAAAATTATTATAATTACAATACAATATGTATTAAAACAATTATCATTGTTTCTACATTTCCTCGATTGTTTTTCCTTTTTTTCAATATTTCATTTCGTTAATTACAAGGTGTTAGTTGTTAGAAATGTAAAAACAATTCCCACTTGACAGTGATGTAAGTGAAATATCTTCATCTTCAATAAGTATTGACAATTCAAAGACGCAGCACTGTTGCCATCAAAATAAGAGATGTTAAAACATCACTGTCGAGTAAGAAATCTCTTTAGTACATTCAAATAGATTCTTTTTTAACTTTTCTTCTTCTTTCCACGTTTATTTTTCTTTTTCGGTGGTTGCGATTCAGATGAGCCTGCCTGTCTTTTTAATGGGCTACGTTTGTTCTGTTTTTGTTTTTTGGTCACTATCTTGCTTTGCGTTTCATCTGCATTTTCCTTCATTGTTACATCCTGTTTGTCTTGCTGTGAACCTACCGGTCTTTTTAAAAGGCCAGGTTTGTTTGGTTTCTTGATTACCTTCTTGCTTTCTTTGGGTGTTTTATCTTCATTTTCTTTAACTGTTTCATCTTTTTTGTCTTGCTGCTGTTCGTCTTCTTTGTTCTCCGATTCTTCTTCTTCATCTTTTTCGGGTTCCGGCTGCAAAATTAAAAATCAGATTAATTTTATATATACAAGGTAAAAGTACAGGGTTATAATCAATTGCGAAATTAACTATCACAATCTATTAGATTTAACTCCTAAATAGCAGAATTCTGACATAAAGATTTAAAAGTGGATTTTGAAGCTACTATTTGACGCAAAACAAAAATTTGAATAGGGTGAATGCAAATAAGAATTATTTACGTCCTTATTTCAAAACGTAGACTAAAGTTAAACGTGGACTCTCACTGATGCGGTTACTTTTGTTTGCAAAAAGACGAAAAAGACAACATTAGGTTTAAACCAAGACTTTAGTCCGAGTTTTTGAAGTAGAGGGGAAAGTGTTTAAGGGTCAAGACACAATAATCGACGGGTTGTCCATTAAATACAGCACAATCCTATGGGAAGTACGCATCGAGGTGCGACCGACCCGAAACGCGTTCGGACATCGACGACCGGCGGTCAACAGAGGACCAGCAAGTCACCTTATGGGATTGCTATGGCTATAGTACTCGCTTACGATTTCATTTTGTTATTTCTAACCGCCAAAAGTTTTCAAATGCCTCGCGGTCTTTAATTTTCTTTATCATTAGTAATAACAATATTAAAGCAAATGAGCGTGAGGTATTTGAAAACCTTAGGCGTTCATAAATAACAATATAAAGACGTAAGCGATAGCTATAGCCATAGCATTCCCGTTTGGTGATTGGGCCCCAGGAACATGGTGTCCAAAATACAGAATTCTTAATAGTAACAGATTCAACAACAGAATTGCCTTTCAAATACGTAAGTCAACAATAAATATATATATTTATATATATATATGCTGTTTGCGATGATTTGGCTGTGTACAACTCTGAACAGATGAAATTGCAAATGCATAGTCATTTACTCTATAAGCAGTCGACAGGCATTTTGAGTAAAAATGTCCGATTATACATCTGCAAATTTGCAAGAAGCTTTGAAGAAGATTGCTCAAATTGTCTGGACCCAAAACATAACATACATATCCATATTTAAAAAAGTGTACAATAACATTAATACTCACAATGACATTTGAGAATTTCTTGAGTTTAGCTACGAAGAAGCCATCCATATTGTGAGTATGTGGGTAAAACCTCCTTGTCAATTTCAATGATGGGTGGAACCTGTGATGTCTATATTTGACAAAACCTTCTGTTCCAAAATCAAGAGCAGTAGGAACTAATTTAACATTCCTTCTCTTCAATGCATAATTCACCACCCATTCATTTTCTTCAGGCAATATTGAACATGTGGAGTACACAATGTAACCTCCAGTGCTGGATTTTGCATTACAACAATCTATAGCAGCTAAAAGCAGTTGCCTTTGCAAGTTGAAGCACCTTTGGATGTCTTTTTGATCTTTTGTGGTTTTCACACTTGGGTCTTTAGCAATCACACCTGTACCAGTACAAGGTGCATCTAATAAAACCCTATCAAAACCTTTAATCACATCAGGAAACTGTCTACCATCATAATTACATATCACAGCATTCACGACGCCCAATCTATGGAAATTACCGACAATAGCTTTAGTTCTCTCTTTATTAGCATCATTAGCAAAGAGGGCCCCAGTATTTTTCATAATCGCTGCAATATGTGATGCTTTGCCACCAGGTGCTGCACACATATCTAGGATTCTTTCATTTTCCTGAGGAGCTAATGCCATAACAGGCAAAAAACTGGATGCTCCTTGCAAGATATAATGGCCAGCTAAATATTCAGGAGTTGCTCCAACTGGCACAGTGGAACTGTAAACTACCAAGCCTACTTTACTCCATTTTCCTACTGGGTCTAAATTCACACCTCTGTTTATAAGAGCCTGCGCCAAATCTCTTCGTCTAGTTTTTAGACTGTTAGTCCTAATAGTGACAGGTCGGGCTACTTCACTAGCCTCCAAAAATTCGACTAGTTCTTGTACTGGAAAGATCTGCATAAGAACTTCCATTAAAAACTCATTATAACTGTAATACATGCATAAATCTTTTAGGAGTAATTCAGTGTATTCACACCTAGACCGTCCTTCTTCTTTAAGTTTACTAAATTCACTCAAAACAGCTACAACATCTTTGATTCTTTGTAATACATCTTGCAAACTAGTTGGATTTTTTAACTCTTCTTCAGAAGGAAAAGCAAATATATCTTGTTTAGCTATATTCAATTGCATTTCTTCATCAGCAAGTTTTTTGTCTTCCTTTTGCTTTTTCTTTAATTTTAAATTAGCCTTTTCAATTGGCAACATATCATCATCCCCATCATCATCACTGTCCTCTTCTTCAGAGTCTGAATTGTAGATTAATTTATTAGAACTACCTGCTTCTTCATCAGCTGAGCTTATATCACCATTTTCTTCATTTGAATCCTCAAAGAGATCATCAAGTGTACCAACCTAGAAGTTATCACAATTATACCATTAAATTAATTTATCAGTACATTTAAATTAACATGTATAATGAAGACATCAGATGGATGGTAAAGACAATACCTTATATTTTTCTTTTACTGGTTCACCTGTTTCTTCTTCTTCGCTGTCTTCTTTTACATCTGAACCTTCATGACCACTATCACTTTCTGACTCTGCTTGCTTTTTGACATATTTTCCTTTTTGTTTTGGCTTTAACCATTCTTTATTATCATCTGTGAAACCTAATAACAAAAAACAAAAGTATAATTAATATGAATTAAACATAATTGAGCATCTTAAGCAGAAAGCGAAGCAGCAGGCAATTCTGAGAGAGAAAATTCGTTCTATGAACCCATGCTAAAGTTTGAATCTGTTACCAACTATGACCTATGAACATTATGCAAGTGTTCCTTTGTGGCACACTAGCGACCAAACGCGCGGACTGATTTTGATGAATCATACGTCAATCGATTTTTAATCATGGGAGTGCGAAATTCAATATGGGGACAACTAGGCGCCATATTGTGAGAAAAAAAAGTTGACGAAATATGTCTTGTGGGGTATCATTGTCTAGATAATCTAAAATCATGTTTAGGTTCCTTACACTATTTTTCATTTTATATGGCTGTTTAAGATCTACAATGACTTAAAGTTGTATATTAACCAATTGCACTTTTATTTTCCATCTTACGTTTGTATGGATCCTTGTTACTCTTTTACCCAATAAATACTGAATCGATTTCAATGAAACTTAAAAATAATATAGCTCATACATAATCATAACATATAGATAAGAATTTATGTAGATATTGAGTGAATTGGCCAAAATATAACAATATGTGTCACGTAAGAATGAAAAACATCTCCCATCTGCAAGCCATTTTTGCCTGCACTGCAAAAATAATAGAAGTTACATGAATATAACGTATAGTGGAAATGTATGTCTTAAATAGTCCCACAAAAAAGTCCGTGGAAGCATATATCTTTAATGTGAAAGCCAGTATCGCTAAAATAGTGAATAAAAAAATATATTATTTGATATCCATTTCTAAAATGAACATTTTGTATTAACAATTAATAAAAATAAACTAAGTAATAGGTTTATTTGATTTTATTTGTAAAAGCTACTTAGCACTTTTGGTAAACAGTGATTTTTTGTGAAAATGTTTCTCTCTCTCTCGTTATTCGCTAATTGATATATACTTATTCTTATTTATAGGTAGAAAAAAATAATTGTTAATAATTAATAATAATAAAAAAAAAATTCGAGCTTTACACTACCAATAATAAAGGGTAGACCAGAAAGACTGCGACCTGTAACCGGTGAACTCTTTAAAAAGTGAACAAAAAAGGTGTAAATATTGGGTGATCAATTGATAATAGATGGGATTGCTATGGTGTTATACCTAATGATAAGGAAATGTTATTCTACACCTTTAGTTTAATCAAATATTATTAAATCTAAAGAAAAGTTTACTAGAAAAAAATCCACGCGGACCAGGCAGCGGACGGGACTCGAACCCGCACCCTTCGCAATCCGGGCGAATGCACTGACCTACCTGACTGGTTACCTACAATGCGAAGAGATGGCGCTACCTTGCAGCTTAAGGCTAGGAAAATTTCGACGCGGCGAATAGGGCCGTGGTAGCATAATGGTCAGTGCATTCGCCCGGATTGCGAAGGGTGCGGGTTCGAGTCCCATCCGCTGCCTGGTCCGCGTGGATTTTTTTTCTAGTAAACTTTTCTTTAGATTTAAACATCTAGCAGTTAAATGCTTAAAAATATATAAAAACATAACTATAATTGCTATTTCTTCTTTCAAATGTTTAATACTTGAAAAACTATTCATTTGACATTGCGGGTTACCTACAATGCGAATATATGGCGCTGCCTTGCAGCTTAAGGCTAGGAAAATTTCGACGCGGCGAATAGGGCCGTGGTAGCATAATGGTCAGTGCATTCGCCCGGATTGCGAAGGGTGCGGGTTCGAGTCCCGTCCGCTGCCTGGTCCGCGTGGATTTTTTTCTAGTAAACTTTTCTTTAGATTTAAACATCTAGCAGTTAAATGCTTAAAAATAAATAAAAACATAAATATTATTAACTTCGCTTTGGTGATTGTTTAATTATTTAATTTTACGATATAAGACTTTTGCCACAAGTGTGCAAAACAACAAACAGAAGTATTGCTTTTCTCAACCTGCGACATAAACGTCATTGATTGGTATTGTATAAAGGATGATTAACAATGTTTGAAGTTAACCTCTAAGATAACTTTTTGAATAAGTACTAGTTTACTATAAAATTTAAGATATATACATAACAACTTGTTTATCTTCATATTTTTTTGCGAAAATTGAGGCCCATCCTTGACCCTGATAGTAAGGTCTTATTAAACCAATCCTTTAGACCACCACAATATTAACTACCTTACTGAAGTGACAAGACTGCGATACAATGCTACTTTAACAGTGGGGACCTATTATCATAAAATTTGATCCATTCTGGAATATCTAATGAGTCCCGCCTGTTAAAGTAGCTTTGTTCCTTACTTAACAGAATTATAGACTACTGGAATTGTGTTTTTCTTTTCGGTTTTTATTTGAAGTAATATTTAAGCAGTCAGGATTTTAGTACAGTCTCGGAAATATTACTAAAACCACTGACATCTGTGACAATATAGAGAAGTTAATTTTTAGGCCTAGGTTAAGAATTTTATCAGGGCACTACTTGTTATGGAAGATGTTCATTAAACATTATTATGAATAAATAAAATGTACCTTGTACTTCATCCCCAGAACTATCATCAGATTCCTTTGAATTTTTTTCCTCCTGCTGTTTAGAGACATTTTTCTTTGCTTGCTTCAACAATTTTCTTTTTTCTGCCAATTCAGTTTTTTTCTTTGCTCTGCGAGCTGCTCTCTGTTTCTGTCTGTGACTCAACTTCTTCACATCATCGTCTTCCTCGACTGTGGAATTTATATTCATACTCAAAGATGTGCAAACATTGTCAAATGTATTTAAATATGAAATGTAAAAATACTTTTATATTTTTTTTTCAAATACAGAATCATTTTTTATTTTTGGAACTACTAAATACATATATATTTCCAAAATGCAATTTTATAATAGAATACCTTTAGATTTACATTGTTTATTTTTATTTTATTTTTTTGAAAACAAAACATTGCAGTGTTGCATTGTTAAAAAAAACACCTTAAATTGATATTGCTGTCGACTTATCAAAAAAATGATATCCAGTTCACATGAAATCATACTGGGATCTGCCTGATTTTACATGATTTTTTACTTATTTCATTTTCGATTTCGAAGTTTAGTTATAATAACAAAAATAGTCATAAATAAAAATAATGGGTCAAACTAAATAATAATAATAGTTTAATAATAATAAGAGATTAATAATTGATTATAATTGAAAAATTGATAGGAGATACTTGCCACTTAGTCCCATAACCTATGTGATAATAAGCTATGTATATAGCTATATAATATAATATATATATAATATAATATAATATATATATATATAAAGTATTTTTACATTTCATATATAATATATATATATATAGCTATATACATAGCTTATTATCACATAGGTTATGGGACTAAGTGGCAAGTATCTCCTATCAAACAAAAAAGAATCAGTCAAATCAGATTAGAAATCTTTATGTAATCAGTATACATCCAAATAAAGTATCAGAAAAATTACACCATCCAATTTGTGTTCTTTAAAAAAGGATAGAAGCCATTGTTTTATCTTTATAAGACAGAATATATGCAATATTGTTATATTGAGTGCACATGCTTGAATGAAGTTAGCAAAAATGCTCATAAAATAAAAACTACTGCATCAAACTGAATATTTTTTTATGGGACTAAATGGCAACTATTCTGCATCGGACAAAATAGGATCACATAAAACAGATTAGAAATCTCCTCCTAGTTAAAAAAGTTTTCTGCATATACAAAATATGTCTTATTACTATGTTAAATATTGACCTATTACCAACATTGTTTTGATGTTTGATGTGCTACATAGTAATATTATGGCTGTGTACTTTAGGAGATTGACTGCTACATAGGAATTAAACATCAGTTGATAAGATTAATTTTTCTAATTTCTCTTGGATTATCTTGTTGGTAATTTTGTACTCTTTAAATCATCTCTTAATTTCATACATGGAAAAGATGACTTTATAAGGCACATTGACAGTCTTGGGTTTGAGGGAAATTGTAAAACAAGTTAACATATACACAATGAAGTTTTCAAGATAAACCTTTTTTCCATATTTATGTCAATTATTATGTGCTCCTGCTTGCTTCAAGATATTTCTAGATTAATATTGAGATAGCAGTTTTGATGATAAACATTTAGGAAATATCAAATATCTATATGGAGCCCTAAAATGTTCCACAAAAAACATGAGGTAAAGCTGTGTCGCCTGCATTGCTGCTGTCCATTGACAACTGTGACTGCTTAACATCAATGAGGCTTGGTCTACACATCTGCCTTCAAAGGCAATAAAAATATATACATTTAGTTATTTGACCTAAAACAACTTATAACCATATAAATACAAACGAAATTTGCAAGTAAATAATGTAAAATTTTTCAGTTGCCTAATGATACAATGCTTTGTTGACCACAACTTTAGCGGCAACACAACTGCTATCACGCTATTGACGTGATGATTTGAAGACAACTGACTATAACATAATGAGAAAATTTTCACTAGACAAAGCTAGTTTAATAGTGTCTGTAAAAGTCAATATTAAAAATACTATCACAGTAAGTAGACGATTTCAGAAATATTTGGACCAATTAATTAAAACAAACTCATGATGAACATAATTATAGAATATTTTATAATTATTTAGAAATAAGCTACACGTGTTAAAAAAGGGGTTACCTACTCAACCCTTTCTTGAAAGTAGGATCTGCCTGTTTTCTTGCTTTTCGACCTGGTCCCTTTTTGACTTTTTTTCCCTCATCAAATTTTGCTTTACGGCCCATACTTATTAAAGTTTGGTTTTATTATTTTTATCACCACATTCACGAAGCAGCAAAACACGTGTTTCTGCTTCACTTCACTGTGCTACTCAGTGTTACCAACCCTTACCAAAATTTTCCCCTAAGTATTTTTTAAATTCCCCTAAAATCCCCTAAATATACAACTTTTAAGTACCTACTATTACCCAAATTCTTTCGTTGCTCATAAATTAAAACGTAACATATTTAGTTACAGTAGTTTAATTATTTTATTGAATAAATACAGTTTCCGAAAGTCAAACGAAAATGAGCTGACAGGCTGTTAAATGTTATTTAGCTGTTTTTTAACTTTAGTCCATACACCCTTTGGGTACGGCCAGAGTGCACTCAGATTCAGATTCAGACTCAGAAAACAAGCGCGAGAAATATAGGGTGCGGCCAGAGTGCACTCAGATTCAGATTCAGATTCCGAAAACAAGCGCGAGAAATAAACAGTGTAGTCGAAGGGTACGGCCAGAGTGCACTCCTGATTCAGATTCAGATTCAGACTCAGAAAACAAAGCGCGAGAAAAAGCAGGCAGCCTGCTTAGACTACACTGTTTATTTCTCGCGCTTGTTTTCAGAATCTGAATTTGAGTGCACTCTGGCCGCACCCATACAGTGTAGTTCAAGCAGGTTGCCTGCTGCCACTATGGGTGCGGCCAGAGTGCACTCAGATTCAGATTCAGATTCTGAAAACAAGCGCGAGAAATAAACAGTGTAGTCTAAGCAGGTTGCCTGCTTTTTCTCGCGCTTTGTTTTCTGAGTCTGAATCTGAATCAGGAGTGCACTCTGGCCGTACCCTTCGACTACACTGTTTATTTCTCGCGCTTGTTTTCAGATTCAGATTCAGACTCAGAAAACAAAGCGCGAGAAAAAGCAGGCAACCTGCTTAGACTACACTGTTTATTTCTCGCGCTTGTTTTCGGAATCTGAATCTGAATCGGAGTGCACTCTGGCCGTACCCTATGGCCACCCACCCTGCTTTAGCTGGCTGGGTACTGGCCGTACCCAGGAAACAACCCGTCACACAGTCAGTTTAGTCGTTTCATATCGTGGTGCGTTCCATTCTACGCACAAAACTGAAAGAAAACACACGCTTTGTTTTTCGATTTAATTGCAAGTTTTGATAAAAGCCCCTAAAAGAACTACTACTTAGAACATAATGTCTGAAAATATTACGAACAAGTTGGGAATACTAATTCATAGGCCCCTAGTCCCCAAATATCAAATTAACAGCTTTTATCTGCTTAAATCTCATTTCGGCATCTTGAGTTTAAACAAAATGTTTTTACATATAAAACAAAAAAATCTTTAGATTAAAACAACAGTACTTAACTGCTTAAAATAAAAATATACTGGACCCAATTCTGGCGTGCCAACTTATATCTAAAACTAACTAAAATTAGATATAATAATTTTAAAATTGACGTCGCTTAGTTATTCAACTTAGAAGAAGTTAAAAAAAGTTATTCAACACTGGTGTCGATTCTGGCGTGATTCTCTAAACTTAAAACTAATTTTAACATCAGTCTCTCCTTTTTATTCTGTATAGAGAATGACAAGGATACACTGTTGTCAAATTTAAGTTTAGGTTTAGAGAATCATGCTAGAATCGACACCACTCTATATCTAATTTTAGTTAGTTTTAGATATAAGTTGGCACGCCAGAATTGGGCCCATTATCGTAATAATTTGATCGCAATATCACAAAATGTACCATGGTCGTACCAGTGATACTGCGATACGGCATATTACACTGTCAATAATAGATATACGTGTGCTTGTAAAGCTGTGATTGTTTGACAAAGTTTAAATTCATAGACGTAGCAATTAGCCAGATTCTTCATCCAGGTTTGAACATACCCTTTACCTTCCCAGATGAATGAAGTCATAATACTTACAGTGACATGATATCTAGTTCTAGTTTGAGTTGATGACAGTAGCGCACAAACCGTGCATGCCATAAAAATAGAAAAAGAAGAAGAAGACAGTAGCACCATGGAATTAATAGTTGTACGTAGTACTTATTAATTCCATGAGTAGCACAGTTTTTACTTGACATAAGCTGAACGCACAAACCGTGCATGCCATAAAAAAAGAAAAAGCAGAAGAAGACAATAGCACAGTTTATACTTGACATTAGCTGAACGCACAAACCGTGCATGCCATTAAAAAGAAAAAGAAGAAGAAGACAGTAGCACCACGGTTCCCAAATTAGGGGTTTTGCCCCCAGATTTAGGGGCTAGAAGTGTTAAACGGACTTTTTTTAGGGCTGGAATTTTTTGGGGGTTCTTTTAGGGGCTTTTATCAAAACTTGCAATTAAATTGAAAAACAAAGCGTGTGTTTTCTTTCAGTTTTGTGCGTAGAATGGAACGCACCACGATATGAAACGACTGAACTGACTGTGTGACGGGTTGTTTCCTGGGTACGGCCAATACCCAGCCAGCTAAAGCAGGGTGGCCATAGGGCACGGCCAGAGTGCACTCAGATTCAGATTCAGATTTCGAAAACAAGCGCGAGAAATAAACAGTGTAGTCCTACCTAAATTTAAGTTTAGGTTTAGAGAATCATGCTGGAATCGACACCATTTGATGATGAATTCATACTATAAACTAGCGATGTAACGGATATTCGCATTCGCATTCGCGAATATCCGCATATTTTTCAATATTCGCATTCGCATTCGCAAAAATTATGCTAATATTTAGCGAATGTTTTTAATAATCAAAAAGGAAATTATTATAAGCATACACATGAAATAATAATACAATAGATAACACTTAGATATTTTTATTAAATCATACTTCTACATTCTAAATTAAAGTCTCATTTATGAAAAATGAACTTCAGAGATCTGATCAAATCTAACATTAATCAGTCTTGTTACAACTATGTAATGTAATACAGTGTAATTCAAGCAGGTTGCCTGCTGCCACTATGGGTACGGCCAGAGTGCACTCCTGATTCAGATTCAGACTCAGAAAACAAAGCGCGAGACACTGTTTATTTCTCGCGCTTGTTTTCAGAATCTGAATCTGAATCTGAGTGCACTCTGGCCGCACCCATAGTGGCAGCAGGCAACCTGCTTGAACTACACTGTATATTACATTACATAGTTGTAACAAGACTGATTAAAAAGCAATGAACCGGTAATTATCGGTTTACTGAAATTAGCAATAAATACTTATTATTCAGTGATTTTACTTATTTCAGTAATTCTTTGTTGTTCTTCATCATCTTTGAAATATGGAAACTTAACATAACTTTGTAATTTACTGTATGAAAAATTATGAATCAATATTATAGAGTGAATACTTGCCTACTCTGTGGTACTTAGGGTTTCTAGATTAGGAGTGTTTATCCTTATTTTGGGGAAAAATATGATCTTGGAGAAATTAAATCTGCGTGGAGAACTTTAGGAACCATATTTTTTCTTAGAGCATACCTAAGTAATTTTTTTTTTGGCAAAAGGATGGGGAAAGCCACCACTTTCAAAATTAAATTTAAACATAGGTACCAACTAGATTTTAATACGGAACAAATCTATTAGGATGATAATGATGATTTCCCCATCCTATTTGGCAAAAGGATGGGGAAAGCCACCACTTTCAAAATTAAATTTAAACATAGGTACCAACTAGATTTTAATACGGAACAAATCTATTAGGATGATAAGTGACGATAGACCGTGTCGAAACCGAGCCGATCCCGTACCTGTAATTCACAAAGACGTGCTTCGACCGAGGAATTAGGTAGGTTTTAGTTTTGTCTGAGGTATCACTACGATTGCCCGGCGGCACCGCGCCGGCGCTGTATTCATGCAACGGGCCGTGGCCGAGCCGAGGCGGGACCAAGTTTTTTCCGAACGTTGTTTCATTTGTTGCTCGATTGTCAGTTGGTTAGCGCCCGGAATAGTGTGAATGTGTCCATAATCCATGTAATATATATCATTTAATATTAGTTAAATAGAGGAGCTCGATGGCGCAGGTGGTTAGCGCGTTCGACTGCGATCATTGAAGTTAAGCAAATTCCGCAGTGGTCGGTCATTGGATGGGTGACCAAAAATTTTCTATCTCGAGTTCCTCCGGACGCATCTGCAGTCGTTAGGACCCGCCAACCCGCACTGGGCCCGCGTGATGGGTCATGGCCCAATCTCCCTATTCCATCCATAGGGAAGGCCTGTGCCCCAGCAATGGGGACATTAATAGGCTGATGGGCATTGTTACCTTTGCCTTACATAAAAAAGGAGAATCTTAATAAATTATATGAGTTTTTGGCGGGATTTCATCGTGTGTGGTTGGCGTCTTATTTTAATTATTCTTAAATTCATTCATAGTGGATATTGTGATATAAAATTGGTGTGATTTTGTGTTACAACTGTCTGCGTAACTGAAGAATTAGTAGAATCGTCAAAATATACGCTATTCCGGTCAAGTGGACGTGAGAATTTTATTGTAGTATTGAAGCTTATCCTCCTAAGCCTCACAGAAGCTTATCGAAAAAGCCAGCTCGATATATTTCGTGCCAAACACTTCAAGAAACATTAGAATGCGTCACACCGACATTCTAATGTAAAAAGAAAAACAGAATAATTTAAGACTAGGCTGTATAGGCATTGTTCCCCTTGCCTTCCCTGAACGGGGAGAATTTAACAAAAAAAATATATAAAATATTTCATTTGGATTTGGAGTGGAGACAAAATTATTTCAGAAATATTCTGCATCTGTTAAACGATATAAAGCGATGTACTGTCAATCGAGAATGGTATAATTATAGTTTCCTGTACGAATTCGTAATTAATTAGGTTATTTTTTGAAAAAATGGCACTTGCGAAAACTTTGTCAGCTGTTCCTAGATTATTTGTTTCCAGGACTGGAATTTATAGGTAAAACGATGAAGAAGATTACATTAAGATATTCCATATTATTATGTACCTAACAACTTACCTACATCATTTTAGTCTAATTGCGTTTTATTTATTCAGTTTACAGGGTCATTACATAAATAGAAATGGAGATGATGGTCATGGTCATTACCACAACATTGCATTACAAAGGCGTACTTTCCTTGATTTCCCTAAAAAAAAACGTACGAGAGAATATTGTGGTAGACAGTTAGTTGGGTAAGAACATTGATATATAGAAAATATAAAGAGAAATTCAATATTTTTTATAGTCTTAACTGTTACAGTAATTAATCAGATTTTGTTGAATTTTAAAGTGCATTGTGCGTGTGCGTGAAAAGATTCTGGCTGTTCTCCAAACATAGATTTAAAGGACATTAGGCAAAAATGTATGGACGCTGTACCCACGTCCGCCACGGCTTGAACTACATTTGTTTGAAAGATATTATAGTCATGATCATTTGTGCCAAAGCGCATCAAATTCCATCCCGGGGGTCTTTAGTTATTTAAAGTTAAATAGGTACAAGTACTAAAACAAACAAACATTAATGAAACAAGGGAATTAATTTAGGTAGTTAATTCGCCCATACATAGAGGGCTCAGGTATTATGGGAGTACTTCACAAGATGCAAGAGCACCCCCTTATGTTATTCTGCTGCGCTAAAGTAAATCCAAAATCCTCACATGGGTTGGGGTTTTTTCAAACAGTCTGTTTGTTATAGTAAATTGTCTTCTATGTAAAACGGAGCGACCACAAATCATACAAACTTGTCCATGCTTCTGAGAAAACATGATTCCAGTTCATCCATACTAATTAATAAAACTGATAATCGTGTTCCTATGTCCAAGCGTGTGCATGTGTAGATAAAAATCAATCAAGTGACAGATAGCGTACAATCACAACGAAGTAAGACGAGTCGACTATTTGCAACTGCAAGTCTTTCAACCCCCATAAACTGTTTTGTGGTGGCTCAGTAAGTGCAAGCGCAGGATGGTCGGTAGGCTTTGTTGTATATCTGGTTGTATAGTATGATATTGCATATTATTATGGTTACTAATAATATAAAATAAAGGTACTATAAAATCAATATATTTAGCTACTTAAATATGACCATGTGTCATAATCTTTTGACTACTAGGATATTTTTTTACAGTGTCATAACTTTTGACTACCGGGATATTTTTTTAGTTACAATTAAAAAGGCTAGTTTTTCATAGATCTATCGATTCATACTAATTACATTGTTGGTGGAGCTGGGTGTGTTTTGCTCATTGTCCTTTGACATCAGTGTATCCTTGTCATTCTCGGTACAATTTAAAAACAAAATACTGATGCTTAATTTAGTTTTAAGTTTAGAGATTCCTGCCAGAATCAACACCAAATTTACTTTTGACCAATATTTTACAGGTATACAATGGAGCAGATGTATGAAGTTGTATCTGATGTAGAAAATTATTATAAATTCGTTCCTTGGTGTAAAAAGTCAGTAGTTAATCTTAAAACTCCTGCTAGGCTAAAAGCTGACTTGATTGTTGGATTTCCACCTATTAATGAAAGCTACACATCTGATGTCACATTAATCAAACCACACTTGGTTAAAGCTAAGTGCACAGATGGAAGACTCTTCCACCATATGCTTACCCTGTGGCGATTCAGTCCTGGCCTTAAGAAAGAACAGCAGTCATGTGTTGTTGATTTTCAGATAACATTTGAATTTAAGTCCACTTTCCATTCTCATTTGTCTAATCTTTTTTTTGATCAAGTAGCTAGACAAATGGAAGGTGCTTTCATAAGAGAAGTTGGAAAAAGATATGGTCCAGCCACAATGAGACCTAGAAACTTACTTTTGAAAAACCAAGCTATCAAAAGTTGACATTAAATTTGTTTCTTGAAGTAGCTGAATTTCACAAAGTACAACTTTATAAAAAGTATAACTTTAGTAATGTTTATTGGTGTTATGGTTGTACTCAGACGCATCAATAATGTTTATATAATAACCAGTTGATTCTGACATTTTCTTTGTAATAAGCGTTAAATTCAATTGACATGTCTTGAGTGCAACTATTAAATGGTATGTAAATTTAGAACAGATTTTTACACCACCAACTGAAACAATTTTTTTTCCCCATTTTACCTGTTCAATGTAAAGTAACTTGTGACATGAGGATTGTTTGATATTGTGATAAATGGTTTGTATTATTAGAATACATATGATGTAACTTCCTCGTTATTTAGGTAATTCTTAAAATTCTGTTTTCTAAATAATACTCCATTCCCATAAGAAAGGAGCAAAGATTAGAAACTTAATTCATTGTAACTTGTCCATTGAAGGACATCCTTTACGAATTGGAATATTTATTGTGATAAATATAAATATTAATTTATTGACATTAATATCTATTTGAAATATGGCTCTTGTTTGTACTATAAAAATATAAATGAAAAAGTTAAGACTTTTATTAAAAGATATCTTATTCACATTTGTCCACACTGTGCAATAGTAACAGGTATTTTAGGTTTATTGTTTGGTCCTGTGGGTACATTCTCTATTTTTCTCATTACTAACAATCCATCTATAACTCTTCCAAATACTACATGCTTATTATCTAAAAAGTTACATTTTGCACAAGTAATGAAAAATTGGCACCCATTTGTGTCTTTTCCACTGTTGGCCATTGAAAGTAAACCTGGCGAATCATGCTTCAAAGCAAAGTTTTCATCTGCAAATGTACTTCCACCATATATGCTCATCACTCCTGTACCATCACCCTGAAACAAAAAAAAAATATTTGTTGATAGCACATATACAATTAAATTATGGACTTAACAAGAGGATAAATAACCATAATATGAATAGTATTTGATAGTTTTTTTGCCTTGTTTGTAACATGGTAGCTAGATATGGGTTATGGTATTGTAATTGAAGATTGTAATTTTATTTTGATCTTATTTCTTACATTGTGTCCCATGATAGCTTATTTTACTTACGTTGACAAAGTCACCTCCTTGTATCATAAAATCTTTGATGACCCTGTGAAATGTTGCTCCTTTATATCCCAGAGGTACACCATCTCTTCTGTATTCTCCAGTGCAGAATTCTCTAAAGTTCTCACTTGTCTTTGGCACAACATCAGCAAACAACTCAAAAATCATACGTCCAATCTCCTAAAAAGTACAATGCATGTTAAGGTATCACATGTGTATTATATTTTCATATTTAACTAATAGATTGATTGCCTTATTCAACAACAAATATATACCGTTGTTCCTACGGTTATATCAAAGAACACAACTGGATTATTAGGGTTTCTTAGTTGAGACTGTATTTGATTCCAAGTAGGCATTACTGCAGAAATAGTTTAGTGCAAATATGTTCCATAAATTTCTTTCGTAGTGGATCGTAAAACTATGCTCTAAAAGATAATTTTATCACATTTGTTTTTAATTTGAAATTAGGCGTCTACAGAGAAGGAAGCATGTTTAATAAGGTATTTTTTTTATTGCTATTGACAGTGTCACTGTAGGCTTGTTGAAAATATATCGATATTTTTTGTCCGATATATCGATATTTTTTGCCGATATATTTTGATTCGATATATCGATACATCGATACAAAATAACCAATATCGAAATTCGTATCAAAAACGATATTTTTTTAATTATTAGCGGCATATCACGATCTAACTAAATTCGTATCTGGAAAAATCGTAACTGGATCTCAGATTAATGATATTCAACATATCTATGATCTGTGCTGTATTTAGTATTGTCTATGTCATCATTCAAAAACAGGGTCTATTTTTAGGGAGATAATTTTCGTTACATTATTATTCCGCGTGTCATATTTCGTACAGTAGGTACGATATTTTTGGGAAAATTGGTCCGATATATCGATGTTTTTTTCGCGATATATCGAAGCCGATATTGATATATTTTAAAGGATCCATGTATCGATTATCGATTTTTTTTTCAACTTTCGACATCCCTATGTCACTGTCACAGCTGCGCCCACCACAGATTCGTATGGTTGTTGGAGATGGTACACACCATGGATATACTATCAGGTCTGCCAAATCGTATAAAGATTCCCCCGCACCGGCATCTTTACGATTTTACGGCCTTATTTTAACACAAAATCGGTATAATCGATATGATGTGTTTTTCCTATGGTACAAGTATATTTGCGGTTTAATGGTACTTCTTCAGAAATATGCAATTTTAGTTTTTTTACCAAAAATTAAAAAATTACATATATTTCCATTTTTTACACTATATCGCTAAGTCATAGCATTACCATCAATTACAAAATGCCTTCCTCTGAATTAATAATTAAAGAAGTTAAAATTTGAAGAGACATGGTAATGACATTTTGACACATGGTAATTACTTTTAGTTGTTAGTCCTTAAAAGTATAAAATACATATTTACTACTTTTAATGTTATTAATTATTTGAATTACTACTTTGAATTACTTAAGTGCTATACTTAATGTGGTTAGCAGTCTTACTTCAACAGAAATTGCAGATGTATGGCGAATCATTGCTTTTATATTCAATTGAAAAAATATTGCAAAGCATACTATGTATTTAAATAACGCTGGTCACAAACAAAAAACAACATTTTAAATTAGTTTGCCCTAAAATAAGCGACGATGTGGGTGTTAAGTGGTGGGCGGGTATAAGGGCTGCAAGGGAGATAGGTTCTTTATGAATAAATACTTTAGGTTGAGTGGTACACCTTTCGACACGTCTCAACACGGCAATGGTGTTTTTTCCTTGTGACAAAATTTAAATGTGTTTTAAAGCTACATGTCTTAACTAAATTATAAAAGGCTAGTTGACTCATGTCAAATTGCACTATACAAATGTTTATTTCTTATAATTTTTGGTATGAGGAACCTAAATACATCGATTTCACTTCATAAAATTAGAAGATAGCTGTAGTAATTTAATTTGAAAAATAGTTTTTTAGTCTGTGCTTTTTTAACACTGAAAACGCTGTCCACCATGATTGTGTCGTCAACATAATAGCAAACAACTAAACGTCATTGTCGTGTTACTGTGGTTTCATTCGTCCGACTAAAATATATCTAAAAACTCTTATATCTTTAAGAAAAGTTTCCGTTTATTGGTTTTCTTGACTAAATTAATGCTTGACGCCGGATTTGTGAAAGCAGAAATGACAAAACTCTTTGACTTAGCAGGTACATTCATAACCTTAAAAAGTGAAATCACAACATTTCTAGAGTCTTTAACGATGTCTTTCTTTATTCTCGTATAATAAAATCATGATAATTACTATATTTATCATGGAATCTATTAGAAATCATGGTTTTGTAATGTAAATTCAGATAGGTTATATCCTGCGTGCTTGCAATGTGTTTGTTTACTATTTTGTTCCCATCATACCATAGATAATCTATAGACTAAAATGGCCGACAACGTTTTTGTATGTCCATGAAAAATTTATTTTAAAATTAAAGCTTTCTAGGTTAAAAAAAAAATACAATTCTTTTTTTTCGGTCTAATTGAACAATTATTAACCATCTAAAACATATTTCCAAAAAGTGTCAACTAGCCTATTGATTGATGTTAATATGACCGTTAGATAATGTAATATGACTGATATTGATGTTAAATTTTGGGTTTTGGGACAACCACGCTAATGATGAATCGACACTTTAAAATGATCGTAAAGACAGATTAATTGAAATATAAGTACCAACTATGTTTAAGCAACAGCAAACGGAAGACTCTCTTTTACTAAGTACCTATAACACAAAAAAGTCAAAAAACTTTAAACTGTACAAATTATTAGAAAGGACGATACAAGTGCATATTTCTGAAGAAATACTCTAATACAAAGCAAAGTTTTTTTTGTATATTGGCAGCTCTGTAGCAGACGCAACATACAGTAAAATGTTAACTGACATGTCAAATTCGATTATTTGCTGCTACGTAGTATTAAATAGTCTGTGTTTGCTGCACGCCCATTGCACGCCAGTACTTATCTTGTAAATTCTTATAAAATTCATAAATTCATTTAGAGATAGGTACTTCTAAACGCCTATACGTCTCTGCATCTACTGTTTTTCTTGAAGCTCTTTCCATACGTCTAATGGTTTATTCAGTAAAGCTTCCCATTTTTAAGAATCGGACCTGGCAACACTGATCACAGAGTACATTAATACCATTGCCAATAAATAAAAAAAGTACATTGGTATCGATTCTGGCGTGATTCTCTAAAGTTAAAACTAAAAATATCAGTCTCTCCTTTTCATTCTGTATAGAGAAAGGATACATTGGTGGCGATTCTGGCGTGATAATCTAAACTTAAAACTAAATTTAACATCAGTCTCTCCTTTTCATTCTGTATCGAGCTTTAGAGAATCATGCCAGAATCGACATCATTGTCAAATTTAAGTTTAGATTTAGAGAGAATCGTGCCAGAATCGATACCACTATTAGGGTTATTTTATTTTACTAAGAAAAATAACTAATGACGAGGCAGTATGGTCCCAGCCCTTAGCCTGTCCGAAAGGACAAACGAAAAAAATAGGGTTATTTTATTTTCTCTTTCGAATCACTCGATAGATACATACTGGTTAGATACTGAAGTTCTTGAAATAAAATGCGATTCAAATAAGAATAGGAAAACCAATGACCTCCATCTGTCAGATGCCGCTTGAAAAGTACGGTTTGCAAAAAATCTAGGAACACTTTTTTAACACTCAGCTGATTCTATAATAAAAACTAAACATTTTTAAACAAACAATAACAAATATTGATAATTAATATAAGTTGATTTTTTTTTCATTTATTGAGCTTTGGCTATGCATGGATGATAACCTAAATCATCAACCAAATGTCACTTTATGTTGCGTTCAGAAACTCGATTTAA